GAGAAACATGCACTGACTAACACTGAGATGTAGCAGAATCAGCCATGGCAGATAGGTGGTTAAATTGCAGCGGAATAGATGAGCAGCGGTGACAATAGCAAGGTAGGCAGCGATGACGGTAGCAAGGTAGACGGCGGCGGCGGCGGCAGACTAGGATTATAAGCTAGATGTATAATGCAACGGAAATAGGTAGTCTCTAAGGTTAGGGTAGAGACAGATCAAAACACAGTAACATCATCGACAATGACCATAACAACGGCAAAATCAACGGCAACAATAGCGGCAATGGTAACATCAACGACAGTAGTAGAAGTAACGGTAACGGCAACGGCAACAGCAGCAACAACAATTCTTCCATATCAACTTTAGCTAATTCACATAGACAACTTCTCTTCACTCCTCCTCTCCCCCTGAAGAGAAGAGGTCGTCGGAGTCAAGAAATAAGCAACATCTTCATGGGAATATATCAAGCTAATGGGGATACGTCAATAAACATATCCTTTTCACTCCCCCTCCCCCCCTTGAAGAGGAGGGGAGGAGAGCACTTAAATTGCAAGGAGAACGCAAACACAGGTCACAAGAAAACCTAGGCTATTATACCATGTCAAACAAAGTAGGGTAAATATTCAGTTATGCTAAGATACGCTCATATTCGCTCATATTATTATTCTTCTCCAATATGGGACAAGAAAAAGTGAGTCATTTCTTATTCATGTCATATACATTTTAACAACAGCTTTCTTCTTTGCTTCGTTCTGTGACATCTCTGGAGTCTGGATATCGTAGACATAGCGCTAACTTTGTCTGTTATATTGATGTTTTTGCGCCCTAATTAGTCCAAGTGATCATTTGCCATGTGCACCCTTCGTGGGTTCTTGTAGTCATAACTATGTAGTAACTACAAGTTATTTAAAGTTTGAAGTATGAATTTGAAAATGGTTGCGGATTTATAGGGTCTTGTGTTACTCCCAAATGTTTTGAATTTTTGGCATAACAAGTAATAAAATTATTTGTTCTGGGTTTGCTTGAATGCAGATACCTGGTGCCTGCTGATCTGACTGTTGGCCAGTTCGTGTATGTGGTTCGGAAAACAACACCGATATTGCCTCCAACTTAACCACCTAAAAAGCCTAGTAAATGTAAGATTTTATCACAAAAGGCCTCAGTATTATTAATAGTGAAACCATTTATTATATGTTATATTTTATTTTATCAAGTTTCCGATGTGAGATTTTATTCTTCAACATATTATGCATACACGAGTTATGTTAATTGGTTATAAGTTACTTTATTTTGTTACGAGTGTTCGTCTTTTTGCAACCGTGTTTGATTCATCTCATCTCATGTATATATATAGTAATACTATTTTCTTCTTTTCCAATACTTGATATATGATATTTTAAGACAGTATAATCAGGTGACTTTGTTGTTTTGTTGCAGCGGCTATGCTGTCTGCAATTTACGAGGAAAATAAGGATGAAGATGGTTTCCTTTACATGACCTACAGCGGGGAGAACACATTTGGGACATTCTGAAAACTCAGAACAATAAAACAAGTTCAAGGAGTTGTAAATTATCTTTCTGTCCAGTAGTTTGATGATGCACTTGCTGAGACATGTTCTTGGTTTTGGATTGATGACCCTTTATATTCTGTAAGTAGATGACAAATGCGCTTGCGTTTATGTGTGTTCGTAATTAGATCCCCAATTCACTCGTAAGCTTTTTTCTTTTCTTTGCAAAATTTGCCGTCCAATTTAACTCTTCAACATAAATGAAAATGAAATTAAGTTTGAAGAAAACAAAATTACTGCCCTAATTCTTGGTGAGGCTGCCCTTTTATGAAGGTCATTAATTCGCTATGTACCCTGTTCCTTTCTTAATCTGGGGACAAATTCCCACAATAAATATATTAGTTCGACCTTCACTAAAACCTGAATTTTTCATCTAATCAACACCTTTTTAATCTATGTGCTTCCCATTATGCACCTAAGTTCGAATCCCCTCTCCTCTCCGTAGTTTATAATAGATTAAAGTAACTTTGAGTCTTTTGTAACATTGAGAGTAAAAGTAGTACTGTGTTTATATGGATATTAGAGACATTCAAATTAAAATCCGTAATTCAGTACTTGAAAATCAAGAAATTAAATTGATTAGGGGAGTAGATGATTTCAAACTCATTCATTCTCTCCCATATTTTCACTTCTTTGATTTATGATTGATAAAAGTTAGTAACGAATCAAATTTGGAAGTTTGTTTATGAGTATATATGTGAATCGTGAGATGTGGTGGAAAACAAGACATTTGGAGTTATGAGTAAATCAAAATCGAGTGACGAATTTGTGTCCAAATTATAAAAGACAGATGCAATGTTAAACTAACAATGACAGTAGAATTCGAATCAATTGAAATATTAATGTAAACCAAGCATGAATCAAACTTTCAAAGAAAATGAGTTTCTTCCATCTAATAATCATTTTTGGCAAAATGGAAAACAAATTACTTCACTTGGAAACCAGCTCCCTCCACGCTCTTCATCAGCTTGTAAAGAGGGACATTAGGTCACTTGGAGACATTGTCTTTGTGGTGGCACTTATCTTTGACCCAATTGATTTTACCCTTGATCTTTGCCTTGGCCTTCTCAGCACCCACCTTGGCTTTTCCAAGTCCTAATGCTGCTGCTGATGCTGCTGCTATTACACTTTTCACATGCTTCTTGCTATTGCTGCTTCTCCTCCCTTCCTCTTTCTCTCCCTCTCCCGCAGGCTGCTCATCATTCTGTTCTGCTTCCTCCTCTGCAGGCTGCTCATCATTCTGTTCTTGTTCGGGTTCGGGTTCATGATAGGGTTCTGGTTCCTGATATTGTTGTGGTTCCTCATATGGTTCATACTCTTGATGGTATTCATATTGTTGTTCCAGAGCCGGTTCGTGATGGGCAATAGTTTCTTCAGCCCAGGTGGCAAGTTCATCAAAGAATTCCATAGTCCTTGCAATTTTTGTTAGTTGAGAGAAATCTCAGTTTATATTTGTGAAAGTCAATGTGGTCACCACAACATTCGAAATTTTGTACATACAATCAGAAACGAAACTTCTATAATAACATGTCATGCACGATGTATAGTACCAAATATGACAACTAGTTTTCTTTGACAGGAAAATAGGGATGGATTTGATAACATACAGAACTCTAAACAAGTATACCAGTTTTGATAGCATATAGGCCTCTATCTATCTATCTATGCTGCAAACCTCGTCTTTCGGTTGCAATGGAGAAAACCCACAAAACGCAACCACATACAGAGAAAGAGAGTGAGAGTACCTTGATGATGTGAGAACAAAAGCGCAGAGAAGTTGTGTGACTTGTTAGGACTGGCAATGGCCCTTAAGCTACAAGTAAGTGGAGTTGATCACTCATATTTTCATACCTTTTATATACAGAAAAAAAGCTCGACTTGTTTCTGAGAAATTATGTTGCAGATCTTTGGGGATCATGACACACGCCTCACATGTTAATTTTAATTAATTGATTCATATCTTCATATTAATTGTGGTGACACTTATGGTAAATTTTTTGAAAACGCTTCTATAACAGAGCTCGCTTTCTTTGGATTTACCTTTTAATTGATTTGAACAGTGATGTTAACAAGAAGCTGGAATAGCTCAGTTGGCTAGAGCGTGTGGCTGTTAACCACAAGGTCGGAGGTTCGAGCCCTCCTTCTAGCGCTTCATTTCTTTTTCGATCTTTGTTTGTTATGAGAAGAATTTTGATTCCTCCGGTTTGAAGTTTACTAAGCATCTTTTCTTTTTGAACTGAAGTGCTCTATTCAATAGACGACAAAGGAACCGCAACAAAGCTACAAATTAAGCATCTTTTCTTACGTCCAGAATTCTAAAACACAGAAAAAAGTTTCCCACGTTCAAAACTTTAAAAAATTCAACCTCCCTCTTCTCCCATTTTGCTCCATTTCATTTGTACATAAAGGTGATGATGACAAACATTACCTACCACGGCCCTATCGTGGCAATGCCAATGCCATATATACACCACAGAAGGTGACTCTGTACACTAAATTTTATTCGTTCCACTGTATATGATATATCAAAAATAATATGCGTACATGTATAACACACATACACTATATATAAAAGGAAGAGGCCGGCAGGCATTTGTAAGACAAACACAACACAGTCCAGTTCACAGAGAGAGAGAGAGAGAGAGAGAGAGAGAGAGAGAGAGAGATGGCAGTAGTTGAAAGCAGAGAATGGTACTTGGCCTCTTATGCACCTGAAGGTGTTCCAACTTCGGATCATCTCAAGCTCTGGACTGTCACGCTCTCACTGGATTTGATCCCCAAATGACATGTCGTTCTTGAAACCCTCTTCATCTCTGTCGAACCCTATTTGCGCAGCAGGGTCACTGCCACTGGCCGAGAAGACGGGCTATACAGTCCTTATTTCAACCTTAATGAGGTTCAGTTCATATCAAAATTACATCTCAGGACTATAATCTATATGTGCCGGTACTTTCAACATTTGGACTCGGAAGGGTAATTAAGTCAAAAGACAGTGACTATGTTGAAGGAGACATAGTGGTCAGCCCCTTCACTATTGTTTAGCTAATAAATAAGTGTTTGAGAAGCTAGCATCATGGAATATTTGTTCACAAATTATACAGCTACTTTCCCAATGGAATCGATGTGTACCTTGATAATGTTGGCGGTAAAATGCTTGAGGCAGTTCTCAACCATGTCAACAAGAATGCAAAGATCCCTCTTTGTGGCATGATATCTGGCTACAATAAGGTAAATGGTATATACTACTATTTGTCTTCTTATCACTTATACATACACACGCAACACAAGAACCATATTTAAGGGACACTCTTGTATTTTGATGATTAGAATTGTCTATTTTTTTAAGTGTTCACATGTTTGTGTAAGCATGACCTAAGTTCAAATGCATAAAAAGACACGTTTTATTGACAATTTTATATATGCATGTATGTATTTGTCTGTTTCTCAAATGCTGATAAGCTCATGTATTTTTGTGCAGGTTTGGACTGAGAGAGAGGGGGTGAGAAATCTGCTGAATTTGATCGGCAAGGAGGTGAATATGCAAGGGTTCATGGTGTTCATACTTGCATCGTTTTGGGGATTTTGCAAAGGAGATGGAGAGCCACCTAAAGCAAGGCAAGATTGGTTCTAAGCTCAAGATCTTCCATGGAATTGAAACATTCTTGGAGAGCTTAGGATCCCCCTTCACCAGCTCTAATGTTGGAAAAGTAGAGTCCAAGTGAAGTAATAATATATAGGTAGGTTGAAGTGAATCTATGTCATTGATATGTACGGAATTTTTCCAGGGACATCACGCTTTACAGATATTCTGTTTGGTACTTGACATCAAGCTGTGTTCACAATGGCCGGATCAATATACTTCCCTCAGTTCAACCTTAACAAGGTTCACATATTCATTGTTGAACATTGAGATCAAATTACTGTTGAGATTAAATGGTTATTGTCTTTGCATGATATTACAGGTTATTGTAGCATTTGAGGTTGGAAGGGTAATTAAGTCAAACGATACCAACTACTGTGAAGGTGACATAGTGATCAACCCTGTCACCCCTTTGGCTGAATATTGCGTGGTATCATCCCAATCTATAGCAAGAAAGATTGATCCAAATTTTGGGATTTCAACGCCTGAATATGTCAGCCTACTAGGCAAATTTCTCTCTTAATTTCTCTATGTTTCTTTTCCCAATTCCAAATTCTAGCTCGTTTGATGCCTAAAATTGAATTAGCTAGATTGGATAAATCACTAAATTTAAGATATGTTAAAGGAAGAAATGAAGATAGATGTGAAATATTTTTCACTTTTTGGATCCTACCATTTTGTGGGAATTGCATGGGATAAGTTTTCTTGAATATTAGTAATCCATCTTACGGTTATCTTCAACTTAGACAGCATTTCTTCATTTCTTCTTTCAATATACCTTAAATATGATCAAATTCAAACTAATTCTAGACACCAAACGAGCTTATATGTTATTTTACTTAAAATCAACTCTGACATGATTATATATGTATAATGTAGGGGTACCTTTTGCAGCATAGGAATTGAGGTGATAGCAGACCCAAAACCAGGATCCAATGTGTTCATTTCAGCCGCAGCTGGGGGCGTTGGCATGTATGCCGGGCAGTTGGCCAAGCTCAAAAGCTGCAGGGTGATAGGGAGCACCGGATCAGATGAGAAAGTAAGTATTTATAAATCCAACTCACCACATTACTCACCACATTTACCAAAGTGTTTGATCGTCTACAACCAAGCTACTATGTTATGGGCCTCTACTTTGGGCTCACTTGTCAGTTCACGGGCCAAACATATCTATCTATAAGCATCTTGGTTTACTATCAAATTGCTTGAGATGCATTGACGAACAAATTGTGTTTGCTTTAGAGAATGACCAATTAAATTACTTATTATTTTAGTACAAAAAATGATGCAATGTATGCGTTTTTGGTAATCGACGTGACAAACCAATAAATATGAAGGTGATGCAAAGTTTGGAATCGGCGCTTCGGCCAAGTATGAATTAGAAAATCTAGAAAAGCTTGGCTGTATAATTCAATTACTGCCGAACTTGAAAAATTATGCGAACGACAAAATATTGATTGAGGTTGCGACAAATTACCGGTTGAGGTTGTGACAACATTTGGATCGTGCATTGTTTTCATTGAAAATATTTCTATTAGGATTCACTTTAGAGTTACTATGTTTTCGTGTATGTATGCAAACGTTTAAGTTTGGAGTTACTTTAAACAATTACACTCCTAGATTGTTTTTCAATTAGAAAGCTGAATTTAATCACAAATTCCTTTAGATATATGTATTTGGATAGAACACTCATGTAAACCTCCTTAACATGCAATATATGTACTTGTTTAACTCTTACAGATTAACATTTTGTTTCAATTGTTGATAATTTATGGTTCTTAGGTAAGGCTCATAAGGGAGGAATTTGGATATGATGATGCATTCAACTATCACAAAGAGAAATATTTTGATGCTGCTTTGAGCAAGTAATTACTGTATGATTTTGAGAATCATATCTGGGTATATGTGAAGACTCAAAAAAAAATTTCCTTACAATTTACAGCTATTTCCTACATGGAATTTATGTATACCTTGACAATGTTGGCGGTAGAATGCTTGAGGCTGTTCTCAACCATGTCAACAAGCATGCAATGATCCCTCTTTGTGGCATGATGTCCGAGTACAATATGGTAAATGGTATCATTTATTCATAATAAATTAATGTTGATTGTGTAAGTATGACCGAATCATAAAAAGACATAAGTTACTGAATATTTTATATATACATAATGCATGCATGTGCCTATGTTTCTCTTTTCTCTCAATTGCGAAGGTCATCAAATCTGGGCTCATACACTGGGTTTTGGTGTTTCGCAGCTGAGCCAACGCTAGAGAGAGAGAGAGAGAGAGAGGGGGTTGGGGGATGGGGCTGGTGTGGGGCGAGAGGGGGTGAAGAGGGACACCTCAGCATTTAACGTTTAACCAAACGGTCAACTTAACAGAAGGTTTAAATTGGTCAAATTTAAAAATTATAGGGTGTAAAATGATGAAATTGAAACTCAGGGGCCCATATTGAAAATGGCTCTAAACTTTTAGGAGGTCTTTTAATATTAGCCCTTAAAATAATAGTGTGATAGTAGTTAATTGAATTAACCATGTAGGATTAGTTGTGTTAGTTCGGTATAGCCACCTTTTATCTTCATTTTGGAACATCATTTTATTACTCCACACATAACCATGTCCCCCACCAAAAATATTAATCTTGTACCCGTCACCTTTTAGCTCCATTTCATTTCTACATAACGGTGATGACAAACATTACCTACCACGGCCCCATCGTGGCAATGATGTCTTCTCCCACTGCAGAAGGTGACTGTGTAGGGTGTACCTTAAATTTAGGATTAACTACACTTTAGTCCCTGTAGGTTTAGTGTCAGTATCGAAATGGGCCCCAAGGATTCAATTCAATCAATTTCATACCCGACATTTCAAAGTATTACCAATTTACACCCGCCGTTACATTGACCGTTAAAGTCAGACGTTAAATGCTGACGTGGCAGTCGTGGGACCCACCTCATAACCAAACAGCAGTTAGAAAGAGACTAATATAGGACAAATAATATTTAAAAATTCTTTATTTTTAAAGTTAATTAAAATCAATTATTTTTTATTTATAAAAAAAACATAATTAAAATGACAATAATAATAATATTGATTTTAAAAATATTGTCGGATTGGCAAAATCAATGAAACTATTGTTAAAATCAATAATACATAATATTGATTGTAAATACATGTATTATTGGGTTTGGATTTAGGTAAATACATGTCATTTTAAAAAAAATCAATAATATTGTTAAAATCAATAATAATAATACATAATATTGATTTTAAAAAACCCTATTGTCAAACCTAAATCCAAACCCAGATCTTCACCACTCATCCCTCTTCCTCTTCCTTCTTCTCTCCACCCATCAAACCCTAAATCCAAACCCAGCATCTCCACCACCCATCCTTCTTCTTCCTCCTTCTCTTCCAACATCCCCACCTTTGTTCCTCACCCACCACCCACCACCTCATTCTCCCTCAGTCCTCTCCTCCTAGCCCCAACCAATACCAGAGCCCTAGCCAATAGATCTGAGGAGGAGATCTGCGCGTCGTCGGAGACGTATGGCAGATTCGGCATATGGGTCTGCGACGACGTCGCTTAGTTTTCAAGGTTGACGATGACCCAACCACCTGTGTTTTCGAGGTCGACAAAGACCTCTCGATTGCCCGGAAATTCGCACCTCCTGATTGCCCCTCCCGATTGCCCATCGCACCTCCCAATCACCCGGAAATTTCTAGCCACTTGCAGATCTGGGTATGGGTCTTGGTGGTGGGCATATGGGTGAATTAGCATAACTGGATTGAACCACATGTGAGA